CATCTGCAATCACTTCAGCAGGAGGTCGAGTTAGATCCCAGCCAGGGAGCTGACCAGCGGGGCACAGCAGACCTCTCCTGTCTTTCACTGCTCCCCTCAGCAGTGTATTTCAGTAGATCTGTCTGTTCTGCTCCCCACTGTGTCTGGTGAATCCTCTGACCTCCTCGTTCCCACACATACCTCCAGCTTGTACCCCATTTCTTGTATACATAGATAAATCTTTTTAAAAAGATATAAAACATGCCCTACAGGCAGTTTCCCCATAAAGGATGCAGAGGGCTTGCAAATATTGCCAGAGAGCTGTAAGTCCCCTAAATAAAGCCCCTAAGCCTTGAGGAAAAGTGCAGTCTAGTCACACCCAGCTATATGTCTTTCTGCAAATATTCAGACTTGTCTCTAATAATTGCAAGTATATTTAAGGTTACTGAACAGATTGCCTTTTATATACCTGTGCTGCTATCTGCTATACCTCTTGAGAAAATGATACTAAACATTTGGGAATTCTTTTTTTTTTTTAAATAAGTAATGTTTTATAGCTCCTCAAGTATACATGAAGTGAACTCTTTTAACTTTAATCTCATATGGACCATTTACATCATGTAAGTTCTGGGAGAGTTATGTATCTATGTTTAAAGGTGGCAAATGACAGATGTAAAGGATTGTAAGTATGTACTCTGCAAATGCACCATCTTTCAATTAATCATGGCATTTTTACTGATGTTGTTAAAGACAAAAAAATGTTTTTAAAAGAACAACGACATACATTTAGCAGGAACATGGCAGGTTTTCCAGATGTCAGGAACATTTGAATAGCTGGCAGACCAGTTAAAGCTGTCATCAGAAGTGACCTTAGATCAAGTTAAATTTTTAAATGTTACTTAAAAAAAGAAATGAAAAAATAACAGTGTGTCATTATGCAGCTGCCTAAAATATTAAATGAAAGAATGAATACCTGTCTGGCTGCTTTTCAAACTTCAATGGTGGTGGAGAGTGATTCTGTTGTCTCAGATCTCTAAGAACATCTAAGTCTAGACCACTTCAACACCTGTGAAATACCATGTGTGGGAGCATACTTGCCCACTTCAAAGTCCTTCTCTGTCACTCGTTGCCAAACATGTGCCAGCAACAACAGAGCAGATTATCAGTGATATTTGTGATAGGCAAGAACTTCTTGCAATAAGTCATTTAGAATATGACTAAAATCTTTGTGTTTTAATAACCTTTTATTTAAAAAATAGACAATTTTTTAATGGAAAATACCAATACAGACCAACTGGGTAAAGAGTTGAGATAATTTTTGCTCTATCTGAACACTAGGTAATTAAGTGATTTAGTGTAGAATTTAGTATTTAGTATAGAATCAGCTCTATATACAGCCATTTTAAAAAAAAAATTATGGTCCACTTGAAAATGGCTTCATGCAGCATGTATGACACAGTTGTGGCTTTTAGACTGGAAAATGAACTACTTTGCAAAGACATTTCAGGTTTAAGTTGCAGTGCGGTTTGAATAAAACGATCTTGCTCATTTGGGTTGATGTGGACACGTTACATTCTAATGTCCTTTTCACACCTATGCCTGTTTGTGAGGGGGATTATTACAAATGTATCTGTGTACTTACACAGATTCAGAATAGCTACAATATATTCTACCTGTGATACAATACTGCAAATTTAATCTGCAAAATGGGCATTAGCCTTGGTCAAAGAAAGGGACACATGATGGCTCTCTGTATGTGTGTCAACCTAAAGAAATTTCTGTTCCCAGGTGCTGCTGTTTCTAAACTGCAAACACTTTCAATTTTCCCATTTTACTTCTGCATCACTAAGTCAAAGCTTTGGATTTAAATATCCAAGTGGCTACTTAAAGCCAGTCTTACTTTAATTGAAAGAAGGCACTTCACATACCATTACATATGACAATTCTGAAAGGATTATAATAAATATTTCACTTGAAAAATATAAATAACTTCCTTTCTAATGCCTGGACAATGAGGAATGATTCTTTACACTGATGTTAGACTGAAAGATTCAATTTCCTCATGCTCCTAGAAATTCTGTGGCTCCACATTTAAAACAAGCAGGAATCATTTTTAAAACTGAAACCCAGACTATACCTTAGACCAATTAAATGAGAATCTTGAGATTCATTTGTTGCATCAATAATTTTTAGATCTTCAAACATAGGTATAATAGGCATCCAATTTTGGAAATCATGTCCAAAAATTGTACATAATCATGTGCCAACTACAACCAAATGACATAGTTTGTTATTTCCTCTTATAGTCTAGAACCTAAACTATAAAACACTGTATGTTTTTAATGAGTAGGGGCCTATTTACTTTTCTTTGGGGTTTATTTATTTTCAGCTTATCCATTTTATTATTTTACTTGTATAATATGTACTGTATTTTAGAATAGTACTTCCATCTATTTGCTATTCCAGTCTCTTCACAAAGTATTTGTCACAAAATACCACTAGTGAGTTTTAAAATTATTATAATTTTTAAAGATTTATTTACTTACACATACAAGAACTTGAGTGTAGGCCGGAGATGTGGAAGGTGAGAGGTTCACCAGAAACAGAACAGGGAGCAGAACAGTCAGATCTATTGAAATATACTGTGGAGGGGAGTGGCAGGTGATACAGGAGAGGACTGCTGTGCCATGTGGGTTACCTCCCTGGCTGGCAGAGGATCAAATTCGTGCTGCAGTGACTGGCAATAGCTTGACAGTACTGTTTTTAACCCCTTGCACCACCAGGGAGGCCCAAGTTCTAAAATCTAAAAATTAGAGAATTGGAAGAAATGTGAAAACAAATTTAACTCACCCTTATTATTAAAAGTAACTTAAAATCAGATTTGTATGTTGAATGTCTCTGCTTAATAGCATTCCACAACAACCTATGAGAAGGGCTGATTTCAAAGATCACAGAGTTCATAAAACTCAAAAAAAAAAACAAAAAAAACAAAAAACAAAAAACGAGCGGCAGGGTTTCAAAGACAGTTCTCCAAAGCAGACAAACAGATGCCAACGGGAAAGTGACAAATGCCCATTATCACTGAGCCTCAGGGAAATGCAGATCAAAACCACAGTGAGATGCCACCTCACACTTGTGAGATGGCCAAGATCAAAAAGACCAGATACAACAAGTGTTGGTGATGGTGTAGAGTAAAGGACCCCTTGTACTGCTGATGGGAGTGTAGAATGGCCTAGTTCATGTGGAAAATAGTATGAGGATTCCACAAACATTAAAAATGGAAGTTGTTCTTTATACTTTGTTGGGTAAATTGTCAAAAAAAGCACTGAGAAGGATAAACTGGTCGAAGGATATAAACGCCTTGAAAGAATTGCCACTGTATTTTGACCATAACTTTAGAGTGTTAGAAAAGTTTATGGTTTGATATTTCCAATCTTGGGATTTTAATCACTACTGCCCAAACCAAATTGTTAAAAATCACAGTTTAAATCTTCAGGTGTGTGTGTTTCCCCCCTTCTTCTCAGAAGGTGTAGAGGTTATGAAATTCCTGATTACTTTCCTGATTTTGTTTTAAATTATTTTTTAAAAGTCAGTCTACAAAGCTTCAGTTTATTTTCAGTTTAAGATGGAGAAAGCTGTATCTTCTTCACGAAGTGATAAAAAAATTAGAGTTGTCTTTGAAATACTAAAGTATATAGCAATCTTATGTATTCCACACACATGGTACATTCCAAATAGATGATATACACATACATGATATCTATACATATCATACATTTCTCACGTATATGATATATAGATTTATACATATAAAGGTCTCCAGTCCTCTATCTTAAACATCTCAAAGACAACCAACTAGCCAAGCAACAAAGCAAAATGAAACAAAACTTACCTAAATATGACCTAAGCCTATTTTTAAAAAATCTTGCTTCTTTATTATCAAGGACAAAAAAGTTAATTCTTTCTTCATTGTACTGCTTCAGGTTATATTCAACTTATTGATAGAGAAATACCTAGGAGCTGTGTAGTTCAGTTTTGAACCTGGCGACTAATATGGTGCTGCTAATAAAATTATACTGCCTTCATTTGTTGATGGCAGACATAGGTGATTCTCAGTCATGTGTGCAAATTAAGATTATCCTGAGGAGTTTAACACCTGAAACATCAGCCCCAAACACTTTTAATCCTCTAAGGTAATTCTAATGTGGAATCAATATTTAGATCGCATGTCTAAACTGGACCGCAAGTCTAAGCTAAGCAGTACCTCATACATATCATACAGTATATATACTTTGTATCTATTCAATACTCTTTATTTTTTAGATGATTAGTTTGCTAAAGCTGCTGTTACAAAGTACCAAATTTAAACAAGAGAAATTTACTCATCTTTTTATAGTTTTAACTAATTTTATCAGTCTTTTAAATTCCTTTTTTTAAAAAAAGATTTATTTATTTATGCATACAAGAACTGGGGTACAGGCCAGAGGTACAGGGGGTGACAGGGCTCACCAGAGAGAGTGGGGTGCAGAACAGGCAGATCCACTGAAATACACTGTTGAGGGGAGCAGGGGAAACAGGTCTTCTGTGCCATGTGAGTCAACTCCGTGGCCGCTAGGTCTAAATCGTGCTGCAGTGGTGGCTGTGGACAGCTTCATAGTGCTGCGTTTAACCCCTTGCACCACGAGAGAGGCCCCAAATACCCTTTAAATGGGTCTTTTGGTTGCAAGGTCCTTCCATACACCTGGATGTTCGCGTACTGTCTAGGAATCGCGCTGGGGAAGGCATGCGCATACTTTATTCACTCATTTCTCATAAAGAAGTTAGGTTTTCAAAAAGTGTTTCCTCTTCGCCGCTTTTCTCCATGTGGGGGTATCTTCCCGGACTTTTCAAATCGGCTATGAATTCACATGCCCTGAGACATCCGTTTTTTCAGCCGTAGGGGCGGGGACAAGACGAAGCGCGCCTGCGTGGGCGTGGCCTCAGACCCGCGCCTGCGCAGACCCGCCCTTAAGCGTGTCCCCTCTGGTTTGCCGTCCTTGCGGCCATGGCGGCCGTCGCCCGCCCCGCGTGTCGGGGCCTGTGGCCAGGCACCAGGACTCTCCGTGCGTTTTCCACCGAGGTGTCTCCAGCCACTCGCGCTCCTAGACCCAGACTTCGTGAGTGTCAGCCGCGTGGCCTCCGGGCTTTGGGGGAGGGGAGGAGGCAGAAGGTACTCCCGTGACGGCTGTCCCACGCTTTCTTGTCGTTCCCCGCCGGGTCGCACCGCCGCGACACGAGTTGGCCCCCAGCGCGCGGGTTTCCGGGCTCCTCGCCACCGATTTCTGCTTCTCAGCCCGGTGGGTACGGCGAGCTTCCCTCCCGGTGACCTGCATTCTCAGGTGCCCTCTCTCTTTAGTACTGTCAAGGTTTGCCTCGCTCTCTACTGCCCGCTGCTCGGTAATGTTGTCGAGCCACGGTTTTCCAGAACGGTAAGAGAAGCATGCAGCTGTCAGAACAAAATGCAAGTCTGGATTCCAGGCCTAGCTATGCCACCTGTGGGATGACCTTTAGTCAGTAGCCATAAACGAGGTGACCTTCACTTAGGAGACTGTAGAAATGCCCCGTAATTGCCCTAGAAGAGCACAGTGGAAAGGACAGATTTGTGATGGAGACCTGCACTGCGTTATGTGAGGTGCTGCAATGGAAACATAACCTGAGTGACAGGGAGCAGTGAGGAGGAACTCTGACGGGGGCGGGAGCAGTACTGTCCATGACACTTCCTTATCTCTAATCTCTACAGACTGCCAGGTCCAAATCACCAGCTCTCACTTTTACCTCCGGAGTGAAATGTTCAAAAAACAAATCTGATATTGTCACTCATTTTAGAATCTACAAATGGCTTCTCAAGGAGTGAAGATAATTTTTAACCCCCTAAATGCTTCCTATTCTTAATGCTAGTTTTTAAATTTTCTGTCATCTATCCATTCATTCATTCCATAGTTACTAAAACAAAGTAGTGTTCTAAGTCCTGGGAGATAGCAAGATCATTTGTATCATTGAATTTTGTACTTTTGTGGGGAAGTCAGACTACATACAGGTAAACAACTAGATAAAATGCCAGGTAGTAGTGACTCGAAGAAAAATAAATCAAGGTGTGGGGAATAGATGGGTTGGAGTGTAGTAGCTATAGGGCAGTCAGGAAGGATCTCTTTGGGAAATGGCAAATTGGGCAGAGCTCAGAGCCCAGATAAGAACTGGGCAAGGTCATTATTGGCATAGGGAATAAGTTTGTATGATCAAGGAACAGAAGGAAAGCCAACAGGCTGGAATTAAATGAACAAAGAGGAGAGTGATAGTATGTCAGAGAGATTGATATGGTAGTGTTCTGATTTTGCAAAGGTTTGTAGGTATATATCTTGGCTTTTGTTATAGTTTGGGATCACATTGAAAAAGAAAGTGTAAGATGTGATTACACTTTTTAAAAAAAGATTTATTTATTTATGCATACAGAACTGGGGTACAGGTCAGAGGTGCAGGGGTGGTGAGAGGATTCACCAGAGACAGAGTGGGGAGCAGAACAGGCAGATCGACAAAGTACACTGCTGAGGGGAGCAGCGGATGGGTCAGGAGAGGTCTGCTGCGGCATGTGGTCACCTCTGGTGCCAGGGATCGAACTCATGCTGAAATGGCGTTAGCTTCTTAGCACTGTGCTTTAACCCGCTGCACCACCAGGGAGGGCCTGATGTGATTACACTTTTAACTGATCTCTGGCTGCTATGTGGAGCGCTAATTTTAGGGGTCTAAGAGTGGAAGCTAAGAGACCAGTTGGGAGCTTTGCAGTAGTGCCCATAAGATAATGTGACTAGGGTTGAGATAATTAGCAGCAGAAAATGTTGTATGGTTGGATTTGGGATGTATTTTGAAGGTAGAGCTAATGTCTTACTGATTTGATATGGAGCTGGAGGGAAAAGTCTCACGGGCTTGTTAGATTTTTGTCTGGAGCAGTTATCTAACTATTCATTACAGGGATTGGGGAAATTGGAAGAAGGGATCAGAAATCTTGCCAGTGATACCAGTGAAGCTTTGCCCTCAGTGGTCTCTGTTTTGTTCTTAAATTTCATCTATACTGAACTTGTTTGCTTTGATTTTCCATCTTCTTGCTCTTTCTAGAATGCTTTCTCTCATTTGCTTGTCCCAGGACTACTGCCTGCTCATCTTTAAGGTTTCAGGAACTCACTGTGCCCACTAACATAGTCCTCAGCTATACGTGCCTGTTAACATTTGGCTTGGTCATTGAAATTGCTTGTTAAAAATTCCTCTTATTTGACAGACTCTACCATCTGGGATGAGAGTTGGGATGTATTTTTCTCTTATTTGTTGCTAACTTCCTAATTTCTGGTACACACTATCACTCAATTTTGAGTGAATAAGTGAATTACTATTGAGGGATGAAAAAGAATTTGTTGGATGAAGAAATGAAGTGGGTAGGGGAATGGGGACAGAAGCCAGGCAGATGAATTGGGGTACATTCCAGGCAGAGAGAACATTACATCCAGAGAGACTCAAGGGCCTGGTGCTAGAAGCTCTGTGTGGTTGCGGGGCCTGCTGATGGAGAAGAAGCTAGAGCTGGTTCAGAGAAGAATAAGTCCTGAGTGATTGTGTGATATGCTGTGGTCACCTTAACTCCTTGCTCCTTGGTTTTCTAGGTTATAAATGACCTCTTAGTGTAATAGTAGTATTCTCTGTTATTGTGAAGAATAAGGCCAAATAAGAAAACAATGAAAGACATTTAACACAGAGTCTCGTATGCTGAAGGTGCTCAGTAAATATGGCTATTATATTTTAGTACAGCAAAACATTTATTTAGAGGTACATAGGTAATACTTTAAAGGTTATATGCTGTGATTTATGAAAAAATCACATATGATTATGATTTTGATTTTTGGTGTTATTGTAGCACTGACAATTATATACATTAGAGAAGGAAAACCTGAAAGATTTGGCAAAAAGAACAAAATAACTCCAAATACGAGCAGCTATATTTATAATTAGGACATTTTAAGGCAGTTACTGTCAAAGATGCAAAATGCTTATTTCTAAGATGTTTTAAGTCAGTCTTCAGAGACTATGAACCTTAAAATTAATTGAAAATATTTCTTTAGCTGATGAGTTCACTGTGTCATCAATCACAGTATACTTTATCTTCAAATAACTGGAATTTTCTTAACTGTTTATGCCTTCACATTTTTATTAATATTATGTTGTTAGTCTTTGAACTTACCAAAAATGGATATTACTTTATTTTTCTGTCATATGTGCCTTATGTGAACATGACCAGTGTTGACCACCTTGGTGTACAGAATTCTCTGTAACATTGTGTTGTCTTTTAGGTACAACAGAAAGAACTTCAAAGCAAGAAAGGCCCCAGAGAAGAAAGGTAAATGACTTGTATGCTCTGTGAAAACCATCTGACTAGTTTCTGAAGTTGTGAAATGATAGAGGGCATGTAGAAGCAGAGAGGTGCTGACCAACATGGCTGTTCAGGGGAGTCTATTCATGGCGCCTGCCATGATGCTGACTCTAGTCTTACTGACTTTTGTCAGTACATCACCAATGGAACATGTTTGAGAGACTGACTCATACACTTGTAGGAAACAGGCATATCAAGCAGAATATGGACTGACTTTTTTTTTTTTTAAAGATTTATTTATTTGTATATACAGAACTGGGGTACAGGCTAGAGGCTCAGGGGCGGTGAGAGGCTTCACCAGAGACAGAGCGGGGAGCAGAACAGGCAGATCAGCGAAGTACACTGCTGAGGGGAGCAGCGGGCGGGTCAGGAGAGGTCTGCCATGCCGTGTGGTCACCTCCGGGGCAGGTGGGAATCGAACTCATGTGGAAGTGGCTTTAGCTTCTCAGTGCAGTGCTTTAACCCGCTGCGCCACCATGGAGGGCCTGGACTGACTTTTGCTGATGCAGGTTGCGATGGCTAGTTTTATCCTATGGGCATTTCTATTGAAGAATCCAAACTATCAGGTCACTTGGTGAGCTTGGGTCATAACAAAGGTGTGTTAGTTAGAAAATAACGGGCAGCCTCTTATAATTGCCCAGAGCAGTCATTTTCATAGGGATTCTGCCTTGTTCCAGGACCCATAAGCATATATTGGTATTGGTGTGGATAAATGGGCCTTGTCGGATTTGACTCTTTATTTTTTTAAAGGTTTATTTTTATTTAATTATGCACACAAGAACTGGGGTCTGGGCCAGAGGTGTGGGGGTGAGAGGATTTACCAGAGATGATGGGAAGCAGAACAGGTGGGTCTACTTAAATATACTGCTGAGGGAAGACAAGAGTGAGGGGAGACAGCGGGTGAGACAGAAGAGGTTTGCTGGGCCATATGGGTCAGCTCCCTGACTAGGGCTTGAACTTGTGCTGTAGTGGCTGGCAATAGCTTGATGGCACTGAGACTTTAACCTCTGCGCCATGGGGAGGCCTGGGTTTGCCTCTTTAGATCCAGTTTTTATATGTTGGCCATCCCCTTATGTTGACTAAATTTGTTGTTAACTTTTTTTTAATATAGTAGGAGTATTGACTAGGTGGTCATGTAGCAATTCTCTGGGCCTCAGAGACGTATAATTTCTGAAGACGGTTTTATTCAATTATCTTAACTCTAACTTACTTACTAGTCTTTTTTATTTTTCTTATATTTTCCAAGTTCTCATCTCTCATGTATTTGATAGGGAACTTTTTGGCAGAGGACATGTGCTGCTAAACGTGGTCCCTTGCCTGAGGGTTTCAGGAACAGTGCAGAGATGTTTAGGCAGGTTTGGTGCTTCATTTGACAGAAGCAGCTTGGTGGGAGGTCAGATTTTATGGTAGCAATTCTGCTTATGTTTCTCTTAATTGCAGCTTTTTGCATTACAGTTAAAGAACATGTTCATATTTAAACTACAGAGTTACCTTATGTTCCTTAGGCACTACCTCCTAGGACAGAGAAAATGTCTGTTGACCAGGACTGGCCCAGCGTTTACCCTGTTGCAGCACCCTTTAAACCCTCGGCTGTACCTCTTCCTGTCCGAATGGGTTATCCAGTGAAAAGAGGGGTGCCCATGCCAAAGGAGGGAAATCTAGAACTTTTAAAGGTAAGATAAGTTTCTGGTTCTTTAGCAGGGCCTCAATAAATGCTGATCTTTCTACCACTCCTACCATTCCCACATGCCCTGTGCATCAAATTTCAGTATATAGCAGCTTATTATGTTTTAATGTACTTTTCCCCCCAGGAGTAATGGATGTTATATTTTGATTGTAAAGAAGACTCACAGAATTCTAGGCATTTAAGAATGCAATTAATTGTCTTGTGGCATCTCTTGTGGCTTTTTTCCTTCCTGTTTTATCTTGTCTATATTGTATCTTTCAAGGGGAACTAAGAACAGTAAAATAACCTTATTGGAAGCTGAGACTTGTGAGGTGAAGTTTCTGCTTTTAAAAGATATATATTTTTTAGTTTTACATATTTTTGTGCAATTTTCCATCACAGTTGCAATCCCCTTGGGTTTCCCATCACCAAATCACCCATGTGCCATCACCATAGTCCAGTGCATTTCCCTCCTCCTACTGTTTTTGATCCCATTCCCCATTCCACCCCCACAAAATGTCTCTGGTATATATATAGCTGTTTGTCGTTATCATTATTTTTTTGCCTGTTCCGTTATATTCCTGCTATGAGAGAAACCATCCGGTATTTTTTCTTTTCTTTCTGGCTTATTTCACTAAGCATGATCTTTTCCAGCTCCATCCATGTTGCTGTAAAAGACATGTGTTTCTATTTTTTGGTTGCTGAGTAATATTCCATTGTGTATATGTACCACATCTTTTTAATTCATTCATCCCATTTTTGGGCATTTGGGCTGTTTCCATGTGTTTGCAATTGTGAATAAAGCAGCAATAAACATGGGGGTGCAGGTATCTTTTTGAATCAGTGTTTTTGTGTCTTTAAAAGAGAGATTTTTAAATGTTATGTCCAGAAAGATAGATTATTATTTAATATTATTCTTAGAATCCTTAAATGTCTTTATTTCTTGAAGCAAGGCAAATCATTAAATGATCCTATTGGTAGCATCATGAAATAAATCATAAATTTAAAATTTTTTAAAAAAGATTTGTTTTTATTTATGCATACAAGAACTGGGGATAGTTGGGGGCAGAGCAGGCAGATCTACTAAAATGTACTGCTGAGGGGAGCAGCTGGTGAGATGAGAGAGGTCTGCTTTGCCATGTGGGTCAGTTCCCTGATTGGAGCTCAAACTCATGCCACAGTGACTGGTGATAGCTCAGTAGCCCCGAGACTTTAACCCTTGTGCCACTAGGAAGGCCTCAAATTATACACTTTTTGAAGACAATGTATATATGGTTAGCCTGGGGATGCATGTCTCAGATGGTTTGTATTCACTTACAATGAATCAACAATCGTGTTTTCCACTATACATGAGTCTTCTTAAATAAAGGTGATAGTAAAAAATTAGACCATAACATGGTCAGGATCTGGAAATGGGAATGTTTCAAGAGTTACAAGGAAACAAACATCAAGCAAAATATCTTTTCTTCAAATGAAAGAGGAGGCACAACTTAATGTCTTTGGAAAATGTTACTAGGTGAGGGAATGGCAGTATATTTGTAATAATTCTAATTAATGGCTGTATTGGCATTTTTGTTAACATAAAAATCCCAATATTTAACACACGGTGCCCTTTTTTAAAAATTAGCTATATGCTTGGTACATTCCTAATGCATATCAGTGGATAAGCTTATTAACTGAGTTAATATATTCAAAGTACGTAGGCCAGTGTTTATACAAATGCTATTAAGCATTATCTACTACTTTTTTATATTTATGTTTTTGACATTACATTTCACATTTCAAAAATGAAAGCAGAGAAAATGCAGACACCTACACCATGATCCAGTTTTCAGTGCTGTTTTCTCTTGATTAAAATAACCCTTTCCTGATAAGCTCTCAAGATTCTAGGCATGTTTGGAGCAACTTACTGTTTATTCAAATTTTCTTACCAAATGAGTTTCTTGAAATTAAATTTTATCTGTAAGTGCTTAACATTATTTTAACAATTTCTTGGAACTGTTATTTACTTGAATGAATCTCTGGTCTTTCCTAAATTTCTATGGAACCTGTGAAGGAGATGATATCTTAATGTAATGTCATAAATATATTACTACTTTCTTTAAATGGTTCATTTAAGATTTACTAACATCATTTATTTATCCATTCAATTAACAAGATATTCAGTGCAAAGTAAGAAATGTATCACAGTGCTTTGTATTTCAAGGAAATTAAACAATGACTTGTGTCCTTAAGTCTTTTCAGTTTTGTAAGGGAGACATTTGTACTTGGAGTTTAATAGCAGGAAGGATGCTATTAGCATAATGTTTACTTTCTCCACCAACATTGTCATCATAAGATAGTTGATACTGAATCTACATCTTAAGGAATTCATTACTTGAATTTATAACAGAAGTGACTTATAATATTATTATTAAAAAAAACTTGTCAGTTACTACTTAATACAAGTCTGTGGGTCTAGGATTTAATTTAATGAGGAATTTTTTTTTCATGTATTAAGGCATTGGTTAATTTATTCTTTAAACATTTCGATTTTAGATCCCCAATTTTCTGCATTTGACTCCAGTTGCAATTAAAAAGCACTGTGAAGCTCTTAAAGGTAAGTTGTTGTTTAATCTTATGAACTTATTGATTTGGCCATAAGCATCTCATTTGCAATAATAAAGGGGTCAGCTCAATAAGATGTAACATTTGTAAATATTATGCCCTCTAAATAGGAGCATTTCAGTACATAAAGCAAATATTCATGGAACTGAAGTAAAAAATAGATAGGAAGACAGTAATGGTAGGAGACTTTAATAACCCACTTTTAACAATG